TTACAAAGTAAGACCTGGGACTCACTGGAAGGAGGGAGGGGACGAAAATCCCATCGGACTACCACACTGAGCTGGTTGTAGGACAGGCCCTCATGCCTTTCTAGTTTCCTCTCCTTCTTAACCAGTCTATTTCTCCCTTTCCTCTTGGGAGAAGAAACAGCGCCAATTAGTCCCCTGGGCTCTACTCCTAAAAAGGCTGGAGCCAGACAAAGAAGGGAGGGACAAGGGTGTGGCTCTCCTTGCAGCACATGGGTCCTGGGTGGGCATGAACGTTGATGAAGTTGTTGAACTGGATGTGCAGATACTGTTGGTCAAGTTGCTTGTAGGGTGGCCCCAAACAGAGAGTGTTGTTTGGGCAAGGGATGTGCAAGGTAGGAGCAGGGGCAATACTCAAACTGAGTCCATTCTCCCAAAGGGACACCTTTCCAGCACTTGTTAAGGGCATGCACTGATAATACATGTGTTCAGACAATGATAAAGGACATTAGAGGAAGCAGTATGCAGACAGGTATCAATTTGTTTCATATCAGATTACAAGATCAGTGATGAGGCCACGAGGCAGGGGTCTGTGGGGCACAAAGCTGCACCCCTCCTAGCTGCCTGGCACATCCCCCCACAGATCCTCCATATAGCATATTGAGTGCCTTAGTAAAGACCTCTCCTCTTGGAGGCCCAGACCGAGGAAGTAGGAGCTCCTTTGTGAGAAGGGCCCCTTTCTTCAGGGAGAAGTGCCCCCCAAGAGCCTTCCCCAGTACACATTGCTGAGCAGGTGTAACTTGACTTTGATCTCAGCCGCTCCTTGTTCAGCCACCATGGGAAGCAAACAGTAGTTCTATATCTAGCACAGCATCCTGTTCCCATGAGAAAACTCCCTAGAGATCCAGGAAAAGTGATTCTTGGTGTGACTGAGACTCTTAAAGAAATCCTTGGAAGATACCTGTGGGTATTTAGGCTATGACCTGAGGTATATCTAGATCTTTGATTGCGGGCACAGAAAATGATGACCCAAGCAACTCTGTATGCATTCATGCTAGAATTCCAGCTCCTCAAATGCCCTCAGGGGTGCGCTGTTCTCATGAGGTTTTAAGACTGGTCTACCTCCTAATTCACCTTGCAAGAAAAGCCTGATTTTCAGTACTGGACCAAGGCCTATGCCAGCCAGGGTTACTGTAGTAGGCTTCCCCGATAGTACAGGGTCAGGTCAGGTTCCGTGTCAGTAGTCAGGCATGCTACCAGGAGCCACCACCTCTTCTTGTCTTTCAGCTTTTACAAATCCAACTACGTGCAAAAGTTTCACTACTCCAGGCCAGTGCGCAAGGGGACTGTCGACCCTGAGAATGAGTTTGCTGTGAGTATCTCTCCTAACCTTGAGCAATGAGCATTCCCTTGGGCCACTTTTGTCAATTGGAGGGTGCTCCTGACCACCTCAGAACAGAAGAGAATTGGATCCAAAGCCAGAGAAGGCAAAACTGACATCACTGATAGACTCCTCAGCCACAGGTTAAAATGTACTGGGTGTATGTCTAGGGAAGACTAAATTTCTCATTGAGAAAGAATTCTTATGGGTAAGGTGGGAGTGTGTTTCTGGGTCTTGCAGCATGCTGATTTGGGGTAGATGAAAGGCCTGGGTCCCCACTAAGCTTCTCTGAGAGCCAGCTTTCCTAAGTGTCTTGCTTTCTTGCCTCTGTCATCCCTCACTGGTGGACAGTCCATGTGGATTGAGAGAACCTCCTTCACGACTGCCTACAAGCTTCCAGGGATCTTGCGCTGGTTCGAAGTGGTTCAGACATCCCAGGTGAGTCCAAGGCCCTCAGGGCTTGCCCCTCCCTCCTGACAGATAAGATTCAGCTATCCTAAGACCACCCCACTGACTGGAAAAGGAATAAACTTTTGTTCAAAACCACCTGGGGATCCCCAGAGTTCCAGTGCAGGAAGGCACCTGAAGGAGCATCCACATTATCTGCCTTCAGATTTTTTATTAAATCAGATAACTTTTTTCAGATTTTTTTAAAGCATCAGTTAGCTATTTTTTTTTTCCTCACAAATGAACCTCCCCACCCCGTCAAATTCAATAATAAAGTTGGTGAATGGGGAACTGCTGTGGTTGGGTGCAGCAGTGCTGGAGCTTCCCCCCACTGAATCACCCCTCTAGTTCTCTCAACCCAGCAGTCATTTGGGCATCTCTGCAGAAACCCACTATGAATCCATTTTATGGCTGGATAAACTGAGGATCAGATAGAAGAAATGCCACAGAATCAAGCCCTGGCTAGAATGCAAACATTTGAACTCTCTCATGAAGATAACAAGTATTTTATTCCTCAATATGCCCTCAGTTTAGAACCCTGCAGATCCCAGGATACAGAAGAAAGGTCAGGGTGGCTATCCAGAAACCCGCAAAGTAGGAACTTCTTCAGAGTGTCTTATTGATTTATTCATTCTACAAATATTTAATGAGTACCTCACACATGTTAAACCCTGTTCCAAGAGCTGCAGATGTTGCAATGAAATTTACATTCTAGTGAGAAGACAGACTAAAAAAGCTAAGTAAATATATAATATGTCAGATGATGATAACCACTATTGAGAAAAATAAAAAGAAAGATGATGGAGGAAGGGTTGCTATTTTAAGTAGGGTGATCAGAAAAAGACTGTCTGCTAAAGTGGCTTTGGAGCAAATGCCTGGAGGACATGAAGGAGGGGTTCATGCAGATATTGAAGAGAAGGGCTTTCCAGCAAGGGACTATCAAGTGCAGAGGCTCTGGGGCCAGCAAATGCTTACACCTGAATTAGAACAAGGTGGGATGAGCAGTAGGAGTCTGAGATACCACATCATGTAAGACCTCCTAGGCTGCCATAAAGTCTTGGTTTTTCCACTGAGTGACCTGGATCCTGAGCAGAGGAGGCACGCGGCCTGTGGGTGCTACAGCTTCTATCAGCATTGAAATAATCTCTCTCCAGTCCTGGATGTCCCCTAGCAGCCTAGTAGCCTTCCAACCTCCTTTCCCAGTTATATTTTGCCAATTGCCGAAATATAATCATGATGATATCAGCGAATGCTGAGCAAGTGCTCAACAGTTCATATGTATGAGCCCACTGAAACCCTCAACAACACTTGCGAGGTAAATGTTACTCTTCCACTTTACAGAGGAATAGAACTGAGGTGCACGGTGAGTTAGTGGGTGGTTCAAGGTTAGTAAAAAAAAAAGGTGGGGTTTGACAATAACCTGCCATATCAGGCACCTGGACTGGGCTCACCGTACACCCTCAGTCTACCCCAGCAATAAGGAGTACCCTGGAAAGGAAGAAACTATGCATGCCTTTTAATCATGGGGTATTTGCTTTTGCAAATGTTCCAGGCACTGGGTCAGGGGCTCCATAGCATCTACCCCACTTCATTCTCACAAATCCTGTAAAATACACACTAGTAGTAATCCTGTTTTTGTTTCTTTTTTTTGTTTTTTTCTTTAAGCTTTATTTGTTTATGCATACAAGAGCTGGGGTACAGGCCAGAGATGCAGGAGGTGAGAAAATTCACCAAAGACAGCAGGGAACAGAACAGGCAGACTGACTGAAATGCACTGCTGAGGGGAGCAGCAGGCGAGACAGGAGAGGTCTGCTTCACCATGTGGGTTGCTCTCTGGATGGCCAGGGATCAAACTCATGCTGCAGAAGCTGCGGATTCCTTCATATTGTGGTGCTTAACCCCTTGAGCTACCAGGGAGGCCCGTAATCCCGTTTTTGAATCGAGATATCAGAAACTCCCTATCCATCTGTATCCTTCAACCACTGACCCTGGCTCTGCCCTGTCCTTAGGAGGTGCTCAGCATAGCGCCTCCTCATCAGCTTCCCTACCAGACCGTAGTCAAGCTCAGAAGCTCCTGCCTGCGCCATTCATCTCCACTATGGAATTTCTCCCCAAATAACCTAGCACCTCCTAATAGACTATGGAATTTATCCCTGTGTTTATTTTTAAATATATTAGACTAGAACCTGGGAAAGATAGAGACTTGTCTATTTCATTCCCCACCATATCTCTGAGCATCAATAATGGTCCCAGGTCCATAACTGGAGTGCAAGTATTTTTGTTAAGTAAATCAGTGAGTCCATTAATATGCTGAGACCCACAATGTCGGAACCAGTTACCTTATTCTGTGGACTAAGGATTCTGTAGTTAGAAAAGAAATCTTCAGAATTTTTGTTTTATTTCTTTTATACTGATACCCTCTTTGGAGCCTGGGAGGTTGGAAAACCTCCAAAGAGCTGACCAGAGTGAATTGAGCTCTAACAAGCCTCCCTTGGTTGAGTTCCCCAGAATGTCAGATGCAAAAGTTTAATGCCTGCCAAGTGAGTTATTTCCAAGCCCTTGTTTTTGTGTTACCTGAGTTTGTATCTTATTCCATATTGTTTCTTTCATGGATTGTCACAGCTAGAGTACTGTTTGTACAATGTGTGTTTTCTGAGGGGATTCAAGTTCTGCTTATTGGGGGCCCTTTCTTTGTTCTTGGTCGTGAGAACAAGCACCTTCACAAAGAGCCCTGATCTAGGGCTCTGAGAGCAAATTTAACTCTGTCGCTAAGGAGCTATATCCTGCTAGACAAACATTGTATGTGTCTCTGGGCCCTCGTTTTCATCATCTTTAGAATACAGATGCAAAAGTATGGAATGTCAGAGCTGAAAGGGACTCTAGAGGTCATTTAGTGAAAGAGCTATAAAATCAAATACCTTCAGTTTCCCAGGAAGCTAATGTAAGTATGTGAAACAGTCACATTAAGGCCACAAGGAATTTTGGTAGCTGTGGCAAACTCCCTCAAATGAATTAGACTTTTTTAAAAAATGTGAATTTGTCATGGTGAAATGATCAAACTCTCTAGGCTTACCTACCTATCCATCTCCAAATAGCAAACCCTTTCTGCTTCATGCCTAACCTTATTATTTTGCATATGAGGAAAGAAGACCCAAAGTCAGGACTTTAACTGCCAAGGTGTTCAGCTACACAAAGCAGATGTCATAATAAGGTGTGTCTGGTGTGGCTCTCAGGATCCCTGAGGATTTAAGTAGATGATATGAGGGAACTGCCTTTTAAGATGATTAAATCCCACTTGATTGCAAGGCATTACCATCACTTTCTCTTTGGCTGATGCATCCCCATTGTTTCCAAAATATTATTTTCTCCTGATAATGCATTTTCCACTGACAAAAGGTTGGACAAGGGCTACACACCTCTACTGACACAGCTTAGGAAAGAAACTACAGGTCTGAGGGCTTGACCATGCCCCAGAAGTCAGTTTAAGGCAAGTTTGGTAGCAAAGCTTAACCTATGTGTGGTGGAAGAAGCCTGCCTTTAAAATCAGGAATACCCAAGATCCCTCCCCAGCTTTGTCACCATCAGCCCTCATGCAGGGGAAGTAACTGAGAGTATATACCTGCCATGCTCGGCATGGGCAGGGACACAGGAGGCAAGCAATAAATGGAACCATGTCCTTTACCACTATCATAGATGTTATCAGCTGCTGACGTGCATGCCTTCCACAAATACATCTCCCCCATCACTCTGCTCTGACAGTTATGTCCTCATTCTACACTAACGCCCATAGGTGTGAATCCAAAGGAACTGTCATTCTCATTCTGTTCCTGTGGTTATAATGAGGCTAAAGATTTGGGGATTCAAAAATAGCTTCAGAAATGAGGAAGAAAGCCAATCAATAGGACTTTCCATTTTTATTTATTTTTTTTTTTATTTATTTATTTATTTATTTATTTTTTTTTTTAATATTAAATTTTATTTTTATATTCCCCATACAATTGCAAACGCCCCATTCTGACCCCAATCCTTCCCCACCCACCCCCACCCCCCAACAAGTGTCTCTGGTTCATAGTTTTTTGTTGATTTTGATTTTCACTTTCTTATATTCCTTTTCCTGGTCCCTTATTTAAGTTTTCTAGATTCCTGCTATGAGTGAGACCATCCGGTATTTTTCTTTTCTTTTTGGCTTATTTCGCTGAGCATGATCCCTTCCAGTGCCATCCATGTTGCTGCAAATTGCATGTGTTTATCTTTTTTGAATGCTGAGTAATATTCCATGGTATATATGTACCACATCTTCTTGATCCAGTCATCTATTTTTGGGCATTTGGGTTGTTTCCAAAGCTTAGCTATTGTAAACAGTGCTGCTATAAACATAGGAGTGCAGGTGTTCTTTGGAATTGATGTTTCTGTGTCCTTTGGGTAAATACCTAGGAGTGGAATTGCTGGATCATATGGAAGCTCTATGTTTAGTAGGTCAAGAAATCTCCACACAGCTCTCCATAGTGGTTGGACCAGTTTGCACTCCCACCAACAGTGCACAAGAGTTCCTTTTTCTCCACATCCTCGCCAACATTTGTTGTTGCTAGTTTTTTTAATATGTGCCATTCTCACTGGTGTGAGATGGTATCTCATGGTAGTTTTGATTTGCATTTCCCTGATTACAAGTGATGTTGAACATTTTTTCATATGTCTGTTGGCCATTTGCATTTCCTCTTCAGAGAAGTTTCTTTTTAGCTCTTCTGCCCATTTTTTGACTGGATTATTTTCTTTGTTGTTGCTGAGTCTCATCAGCTCTTTGCAGATTTTTGTGATCAGTCCTTTATCATTAGTGTTGGGTGCAAAAATGTTCTCCCAGTTGGTGGGGTTTCTCTTTGTTTTTGTTATTGTCTCTTTTGCTGTGCAGAAGCTCTTTAATTTGATGTAGTCCCAGCTGTTTATCTTTCTCTTCACTATCACTGCTTTGGGTGATGTGTCTGTAAAGATGTCTT